AGATCTTTGGCAATAGCTAATATTTACGACATTTTTTCTCATTAAGAGTAAATTAATCAACATAAATAATGTTTAATAACTATAATAATGACATTATATAAGTCTCTAATGCATAAATCTTTTATCAAAATGATTACGATTTACGATGTATTGTACTATGTAATATATGTACGATGTACCTACAATTTCTATAGTTGTGGACTCATGACATATTATAATATAAATAATATTATTATTAATAATATAAATTAAGACATTTAAACATTTAAGTAGGTACACCTTAGTTGTATTAATGTACGACGTTAAATTGTAGGCAATTGGCTTATAAATTATAGATAATAAMTATTAAAATTGTAAGATTATTATGTCTTTAAAAATTTATTTTATTCTGATTGTAAGCTCGTGAGACTACTATTAGTACACGAGCTTATATTATCCTTGTTCCGCTTTAAATGATTGATGAAGTAAAAATATATCGGTATACATCTGTACCTTGGTACTTGATGTCTTGGCATTATTATTTCTTATTATATATGCGAGTAGTGAGTATACCTGTAATATCTATTCTGTACTGAATACTATAATATATTATGTAATATGTAGTATGGCTCTACTGTTAGACACTATACTAGGCAAATAATTTCAATTTGTATGTTTTATATTTCTATAGAATTTAACTTCTAACACTAAGTGTCAGTGGCACATTATTTTACGTACTTTAATCTTAATTATTTAACAAAAGGTTACATAATATAATGATCTCGTTTGTTCTCGATGTATACAGGCCCGGATCAATGGGTATAGGCGGCATAGGCCCACGCCTAGGGTGGCATTTTTTAGGGGTGGCATTTAACATTTTTGCAGTCAAGTTCTGATAAAATGTTTAAATTTTTATTAATTTTAGATTCTGAGCGGAGCGATGAATGTATTGATTTTACCATGATGTGTGTTTTCATTTTTTTTTGTGTCTGTCATCACGTTTTGGGGAAGTAAAAGTGCTTCGACTTTTGACTTCAGTACCTCGTTTGATCAGAAAGTGAATCGAGTTGGTACTTTGGGCGGTTAAAAGTGTTTAATATTTTTCTAAATAATCGGGATRAATAAACTAATAATAAGGGGAAAAACGCGAAATTTAACGCACAATCAGTTTTCGACAAAATCGATTTTGGTTTTTGATTTAATTTTAAAACAAATGACCATTGGTACATGCAATTTTCACCGAATGTTTATA